TATGAATATATGTACAGTATATATGAATATATGTCAGTATATATGAATATATGCACAGTATATATGAATATATGTACAGTACATATAAATACATATAAAACATACAACCTGATGAACGCTTTGTACACAATTACAAAATGCAGTGTTGACTGATCATAACAAAGACTTAACTGATGCAACCAGGAGTTGCAGCATAACTATTTCTACATTTCAATCACACAAAGCACAACTACATTAAGTATTAACCTTTAATTTAACCACTAAGTGTCCTAATTATGACCAAAAATGGAGGATTTACCTTTGTACAGACGAACATGTGGTACTTCCTGTTTATCACTTTATTATTATGTATTTACTTTCCTAGTGCTGTTATATGTATATTGCCTTATATTTGTAGGTGTGTGTTATTTTGAGCATGTTTTGCACTGAAACAGGAGCGGCTCAGTCTCGTTGTACTTGTGTATGATGACAAAGGCATTCTGATTCTGGTCACTTGTTAGAAAGTCCACACTGTAGTCCATGTGTAGTTGTTTACTGAGCTAAGCTCTGTTTAGTTATAGCTTGCTTCTAAGTTTCATAATTCGTATGCTCTTAAATGCACCGTACGTGTTCCGACGCTTGTGAACGCACCGCTCTGTGTGTAAAAATGCCCATGCTGCGTGGATTAGACTTTTTCTACTGCTCGGTGTATTTCCAGAAGAAACAGCAAATAAATGAACCCTTAACTGGATATCTGTCTCCGTGTCCTTTAATGGGAGTAGTACCGCAGCTCTAAACCAGTTTATTTCCTGGAGAACACCAAACCTCTCCTTTCTATCATCACTGTTGTGTTCAGCTGCTCATGAGGTCGGCCGCAGGACTTTATCCACATTTTACATTTTTCCAGGCTCCGTTTAAGGTAAACTGTATGAGGGCCTTCTAAACACTCAGGGCAACGCAGTCTGAACTACATGTTCTCCACTGACCGCTTTTGTTTTAACCATGTTTCTGATGAATTTTCACAAAATGCCTCTGAGCACAAAGTGTCCGTTTCACTTGGGGACAAACCGAGGTCGCTGATTGGTCCGATGCTGACGAGCCTACTGGATGGATTGACAGGTGGCATCGATCTGACTTGTGCAAAAAGAATCGTAGATTTTACTAGCCCGTTTAAGATTGTCATCATTTATTCCACGTTTGTTCCAAACGTATTTAATATTTTGGTGAATCCAAGGTTTGAGAAGTGAGCTGCCTTACACAGTCCTAACGATGGTTTCTGACATTTTCAGGGGAGCTCAGTTCAAATTTAGGGATGCAAAACTAAATAAACCAAATAGTTTGGTAGGCTGCATATTCATCTGTAACAGAATTAATCTGTCATCCATCCACCAGTCCATCCATCAGTCCATCCATCCATCAGTCCATCC